CTTCATTATTGTGAGCTGTGCCCTTCCTTTGTTTATTTCTTGACTTTGTTTCTCTTCCCTCTCTAGTAACAAGTAATTGCTTATGATGTTTAAAAAAAAAAAAATAAATTCCTCCTCTGTTTTCCCAGTAGATTTTGTCTTTTGTATGTCTGTTTTTTTAAACTACTCTGGAGTTTAAAAAAGTAGTCTCATAGTATTTCTAATGTGCTAATATTCCAATGTTTCTAATTATCTGAAGAATGGTGCTGATCATCAAAAATCACAAAACAGAGGAATATTAAGCCTGTGTTGTGATCACAACCCACAGGAGACAACACAAAAACCATTTTTCATAAAGCAAATTCTCAATCAGAAGCATAAGACATTAATCCAAGCTAAGCAGATAAATACAAGTTTAAGAGAACAACCAGCCCCTAGGTTACGCTATTCACTTCCCTTCAGACAAAATCGATTCCAGAGCAAAGAGCCCATGCAAGTCTCTGGCATACATAATTTTTCTGGCAAATCCATAATTAAAGCTGGGCAGTGTATTCTTCATCTCCACTGAGATAAGTCGCACGCTTTCTTGATTATATTACTTGAAGAATAAAAAAATAATCTGAGATATTAATTTGAATGACTTGCATCTGAATCAAACATTAACACATCAAAATCAGTATCTAGTTTTACAGTATCACATTCAGGAACAAAGACAACTTTCATCCTCTAACTTCAGGACAGGCTGTGGTTTGCTAGTCACAAGACTCTTATTTTTCAGGTGGAACTACAGCATGCATGTGGTCCAGTTCAGCTGTCATTGTATAGCAGAAATTGTTGGCATAATAGGCAGAAATGCACGTACACTCATGGTCTGTCATCTCTCCTTGACCAGCTTTTTGCCATCAAACTCAGTCTTATGAGAATAAAGTTCTTAATTTTCCTCCAAAACCTCTGTTCTCTCTTTTTTCTCTACTATAAATAATGATTTTATGCTCTCCCACTCCTACCATAGAGCTTCACAATGTTAGCAGTCATTTTTCATTTTGCTTCTCCTTTTCCTTACAGAGGATAGCAATGATATTACCCGGGATTGTTACCTCTTTTTCCTGTTCCCTTCTAAAAATCTTCATTCCAGAACAGGGTTCACTATAGGAGGTACCACACCATGAAATCCTTTTCAGCCAATATAATTCAAACTAGAAAATTCTTCAAAAAGCTTTCCTATCCACATCTCTGCTTTCATTTCTTTCTGCTCATTATCTGAGGTCTTCATCTTACCGTTCCATTAACTATTTACTCTCTCTGCACTGAGGTCCTCCATTCACTTCAGGGTGCTTTATCCATTTGCTGATTGCAAAATGGCTTCCCTATTTCATTTAAATCTCTTGAAAAAAAACCATCACCTATGAAACACTACCAGAGTACTACTGTAAATAAAATAAATTTTACAATGCCTCAGATGGTGCAGCAAGTCTGAATTACCTTGTTTACAGCTGCTCCTTTGATCAAAAACTACTATGTAAAAGAGTATGTACTTGTTGTAGTACTAACAGCAATGTCCAACAAATAAGTAGTAACAATATTGAAGAGGCAGATGTATGGGCTGACTGTGCGTCAGTCAGCTGTGCAGCAGGTTCATTCTTATCTCTCACATTAGGGTTTAAGGGAAAAGTTTTATCCGAGGCTGAGTTTTGTTCCTATTCCACAAAGGCAACATAAACAAGGGATTTAAGTAAGACATTATATTGGTGTTTTGATACATTACAAAGATAATATTAAATCAGTTACAGTAGCCAAAATGGATTTTTCTGTTTCCCTTAAATTTTCTCACATTTCCTCCCTGAATGCAAATAATTGCAGGTGTCCAGTTTGCATATCAGCAGCTACGATGTCAGCAAAGTTTATCTAAAATATTTTATGTACTTCATATTCTTAAAATACTTTACAGATTCATAGTAGTCTCAAAATTCTCATCCTTCAGCGTTTTCTTCCAGATCCAGTCCTCTGTTTTAAGTCATACTTCATAGACACAACTTTTCCTCATAAAAGTTATGCTTTTTTACTACTCTTATTTTGCCTCCTCATGTTTTTAGCTATCTCATCTTTTTCCAGCCTACTTCAGATTAAAAAATATAATTTGCAAATTTTTACTAATCTATTTTGTTGCATCTCTATAAATCCATCACTTATTCTTTACATTATAGACTTATATGTGTGCTTAAGTTAATCATAAGTAGGAGTACCCAACATCTTCATTCAGCTACCTTTTTATTTTAAAGGACTCATGCCTGCTGCATTCCAACCTGTGTACTGTGCTACAAAGCATGGTGTAATTGGATTCACACGGTCTATAGCAGTAAGTACGTGTTTTTGAAAACAGTATTGGCAGTTCCTTGGGAACATTCTAAGTTTCTCATGTTCCCTCTCTATTGTCACACAACTGGAACTAATTTTCTTAAAGAAAACGAAGTGTCTGAAGCAGTGGCGGTTCCCTCCTTTCACAAAGGGAATCCAAAGATGGAATAAGTAAGGCACGTGTGTGTTTATGACTGATTTGAGGTTCTGGGAGCATGGAAGAAAGATGTTACAAAATAATGTAAGGACAGTGGGAGGAAACAAAAAGTCAAATTCTTATCTAAGCTTTAAAAATATTTTTCAACAGTCCATCCCAGTCATTCAACATTTTGGTTTCCTTATTTGTAAGTCAGGTGGTTGACTTTTTTAAGAATAAATAAGCACCAAAGCATACAAGTGACCCAAATACAAAAATGTTTACCATTATTTATTCTTACCAACATTTAATATGCTGAAACTGAAAAATGACACACTCAGGATAGGACATGTTAGATGTTATATGACCATATAGTAAGTCTTAGCCTCTAACTCCAAAACTTTCTAGTTAAACTGAACAAGCAGTAAAATAAAATAATTTGCAGGGAGCAAATAAGATTACACTTTCATAGACTAAGCTTAACAATAGTCTATGCATATAAGATTTACAATCTCATTTCCAAATCAAAGTACCTGAAGTGATCATTTGGGTAGTTTATCTATATTTTATGGCCACATCCAAATATTTATTTTTTAGATTAACTTAAACAGATCAGTATGGATAAGTTGAGCGTAAAACATATGCCACAGCATGAACCTGACACCTGTTTTTCCATTTTTGTTCTCTCATGATAATATAAACCTCACCATCTAAGTTCAAAAATAAAGTTTGCTAGAAAATTAGAGGAGATGCTGTCTGTATGGAACATGAGAATGCC